CCTCCTCCTCTTCCTCCCTCTCCTCTCTCCCAGTTCCCGCATCGTCTTTCCAAAAGTGGGGCGACCCCTCTGCGTGGTGGGCGCACCCCGCGGTATTAAACTACAGGAACACAGAGCACAGCCAAGCAAGGAAATCCAGAAATCTCCCTTTTTTTCCTTTTTTTTTTTTCTCGGTTTTTTTTCCCTGCTGCCAGCCGTCCCTGCGGTCTCCCGCGCCCGTAAATAGGTGTCACCCTCCCAGAGAAACGCAATTAAAGTTGCCCCTTCCCTGAGATAAGAGGCACAGGATGGCTCGGGGCGGGGGGAGGGCGCGGGTTTTAAAGCCGGAGCAGTCGGTGCTTACGCAAAAGGTCTTCTCTAGAGGATGGGTTTATAAATATTTCACCTACTTTAGCTAGGAAAGACTGGCAATTTTTAGAACACTCTTTCCAGGCAAAAGCAGAATCGATGGAGCTCAGCCATGGTGGAGGGCTGGCTCCAGGTCCCTCCCTGGGCACAGGTACTCACCCATCCTGTGACCCGGCCCTCAGGAATGCTGCTCCGGGGCTGCAGGTGCTCATTTCCACCTGGCCAGAGCTTAATGTTTAGCTAATCCAAATTGCATCCGAGTCCTTGTTCTTCCGTGCCCGTGGCATCCACTGGAGTCTTCCCCAAGAGCGAGGAGAACAAGGTCACATCCCCTTCCAGCACCCAAGTGAGCCAAGTGGCCGTGGGGGGCAGTGGGGCAGGGGGGTCATTGCACCCCCGCCCTCCCAACTGCCCCAAACTCACAACTCCTGGGGCTGCTCAGCACCTGCACTTGAAGCCATTAAACAATCAAAGGAGCAGCTGAGCTGCCTGGAGGGCTGGAGCAATGTCCTTGTCCTGTTTGACTGATGGGAAAACCCAGGGCCAGGAAGGAATGAAGAGCTTTGCTCAGGGACAGGGAGTGAGTCAACAGCGAGGGCGGAAATTCAGTTTTATCATTACATGATAAACCACCTTCCTAAACAGCCTGGATGGCAGGGTGGAGGGGAGGGGGAGGCACAGCCTGGAAGCCACAGCCTCAGGCTCTCCCTGCCAGGCAAAAACCAGATTTGAGAGGCCACACTGCTGCAAAGTGTCTCAGCTCAATTCCCCATCCACAAGCGGAGGATGAGGGAGAAAGGATTGTGACAATAAAGGCCTTTCCATCAGAACACTGCTGGGAAAGTCATCTCCTGACCCTCCTTGTCCACACATCTCCTTCTTCATAGAGCCAACTTAACCTGATGAAACAGCAGATCCTTGTCTTCCCCACACCAGTGCTCTGCCCCAGGAAAAGGGCTGAGCTGCAGTTCCCCTGGGCCACATTCTTCATCTCAGTCTTGATCTTGGACAGGGAGCTGGGAGACCTGCAGCCTGCTCCTGGCTTCCATTGCTGCATCCCCATCACTGGAGAGCATCAGCCCCCCTGGGCTTGAATTCCCAACTATAAAATGGCTGAGTGAGGCTCTCCCCACCTTTGCAGGCTCCCTGCATCCCCCACTCCCGGGTGGAAAGGCAGCATCCAGGCACCAGAGCCGACAAATATTGGCACAACCCCTTCCCCAGCTCCGACTGACCTGAATGCAGGAACAGTTGCTTCCAGGAATATCAGGCCCTTTTATCAGGGATAACACAAACCATGCAAGATATTGCTTGCAAATAAGAACCGAGGCGTAGGTGGGTTAGTCAGCACAGGAACACACAGATCCTTTCTGGTTCCACACGTTGAAATCCAGATCCTGGGAGGCAGCTCATAAAAATGCAAGCCACAGGACCATGAGTATATGCAACCCCCAAATTAGCTCCACGAGGAGGCACTTTCGGCTGTTTTCCAAACTGAGATCCATGTTGTACTTGCACTGAATTAAACACCCACAGTTTTGCACTTGCTGCAAACTGCAAAGTGAAACCATGAATGAAGGGAGAGCGGAGCAGCACGACTGCAGCCGGCAGCATCCCTCGGAGCACGCCCCAAAACATCCAACAGGCGTTTGGGGAAAACCCTTCCTTTAGCTTCCCGTGCCCTCCAACATTCCTGGGACAGCGAGAGGCACAGCAGGCATTTTTCACACTGTACCAGTCAATTTTTTCAGCTCCTCTGTGGTGATCAGTCCTGCTTGCAGTGGCTGCAGAGCTTCGGCCCAGATTTGCTGTTGTGCTGTTGGTGTCACTTCTCTTTGCCCAGTCTCGACACAGTGGGGAAATCCAACTCCAGTTATAGGTTTTCTAAGGGTTTCCTTGGGGTGGAACCAGCTGAGACCCCACAGCTGGGCTTGGGACAGCAGGTGCCTGGGGACAGGCTCCCCCAAGGCTTTTGCCAGTGTTGGCAGCTTGGCCAAGGGCCTGGGGCTGAGAGATTGCTCAAGTTTTCCCTGTCCTTCTTTTGCCAAAGGCCAAATCTGGGCTGGCCCCCTCAGAAACCACAAGAGTCATCCCAGAGTGCCAGTGTGATGGGTCCAAGAGCCACGTGTACATTTGGAGATGGGAACTTTGATGCCTCCAAAAAAGCCAGCACCAAGCAAGCTTGAGCAGATAAGAAAATAACTCTGAATCACTGACTGACAGAGGACAGGATGCTTCTTACAACACTGGGTAAACTTCCCCATAGGATGAGTCAAATCATTCTTGGCTGCCTGAGAGATGCTCAGGAACCCGAATGGGCACACGAGAGAGGTGTTCACCTCGTGTGCTTCGGGGTCAAGAGTTTCAAAACACACGGCGTGGTTTGGAAAGCTTGGCTCCACTTCCAGGCCAAACATTAGCCTGAAATCTTGGCCCAGTTGTTACAGATCTTGTAACACTTGTCTGAAAGGAGGAAGTGCTCACCTACACGTTTTCCTGCCGCCCAACCCAACTGGAACAAGTCACACACCCACCACGGCTGAGCTGTGCTTAGGGCACTAAAACCACGGCCCAGGGGGGTGGCTGCAAGGGGACAAGCCAGGCTGAGCTCCCCAAAATGCCCCAGGAATATGATGACACTGAGATAATCCCGTGGAGGGCAGCAGGTATCACACCAGCCTCGTGGACAGATACACCCTGAGACCTGGGGAGCAACCAGTGACCCTGGTGAGGCAGGAGGACTCCCCGAGGGAATCCTTGGGCTGTTTGGGCAGCTGGGAATGTCTGGAAGCCGGGAGGGGGATGTGGGCTGGGGATGCTGGGCAGCATTCCCCCGGATGCAGCTCTGGCAGCTGCGGCACTGCAGGAATGAGAGCAGCAGATGGAGGAACTGGTTTGGCAAACAGGTTGTTACTGGGGACCTGCCCACACCAGCCTCAGAACGTGACTCAGGCTGGGAGGGCTGGAGCTGCACCCAAGGAGGGGGGTGAAGGGCACTGTCCCCTTCCCTAAAGCAGCCCATCATCCCTGGGCTCACACCACAGCCCCAAAGATCCCCCAGGGCCCCTCGTGCCCCAGCTCTGGCTCTTCCCACATTCCCAGGGCACTGGTGGCTGGAGATTCTCCCCAGCACTGACAGCAGAGAGCAGGAATATGCAAAGGGGACAGTGGAGCTGAGTAACTCTGATCCCAGGGGGATTTTAGCTGCTGGATCTGCGGGGAAAAGGGCTCCCCTGTCCCTTCCCCAGCTCTGCCCTCTGGCTGGTTTGCAAGCCTGGGCTGGGCTTGTCAGCCTTGGGCTTTATTTGCCCGATAGGCTTATGGCAATATTTATTCAGGGCCTCAGGAGCCACGCAAGGGACCACAGGAACACCTTCCTATTACGCACAAGGCTCCCAGGTCCTGGGTTTCAGCCCCCTGCAGGGGTCAGCTGCTGGGCAAACTCCTTTTGTGCTCTTTGGGAGTTCACCACACCCAGCCCAAAAGTGCCCTGGTAGCAGGAAAGGGTGTCCTGGAGCAGCAGGGAAAGCCGTGGGAATGGTTCCGTGGGAAGGAGCAAAGGTGGCACGGAATGGAGTGGCATGGAATGAACACTCACCACGGAGCAACTCGCCCTTCCACGGGACCTGCCCACCTGAGATGACCCTCCTTCCTTCAGCCCCACCTACCTGAACCTCAAAAACCAAAGCAGGTCCTTCTCCTACCAAAAAAAAAAAAAAGAGAAAAGAGAAAAATTATATCCTGTGCAAACCCATCCCATATTCCACACAGTTTGTTGTCCAGTCTTGGCTTTGGGGCGTTCACAACACATAATAATGTAATATTTGAGATGTAATATAATAATGTAAATTATTGTATTTAAATTAAATATTTAAATTAAATATTTAAATTAAATATTTAAATCAAATATTAAAGCCTTAGCAATGAAACGAGCACGGCCACAAAACAGTCCGTGTCACACCTGAAATGCAAAAATTGAAATATTCTTATTAAACACAGAGACACCAGACTGGTAGATGGATACAATCTTTTATTCTTTTTTTTTTTTTTCCTTTGTGCCTTTCCATTTATTCCAGAAAAAACTTTCTATTTAAAAAAAAAAAAAAAAAAGAAAGAAATCGTTGCTCCTTTCGGAATAAATCTTTAAAACCGTTTCTTTTAAAACGCGTCTTTCCTTCGTACAACACTCCTTAAATATATTACTGCTCTTCTGCAAATGAACCAACACCAGAGGACGTTCACAGTTTGTGCATCCTGGCCACTTGCATCCATTTTTCCTGCTGCAGGACAAGCACGATGCTGAGGAGGGAGGAGAAACTCGAAACTGGGTTTCAGGGCGATTGTGCCCAGACAGGGGGTGCTCAGGGACATCCAAAATCGGCTTTTACAGGAGCGCACAGAGACAGGGCAGATGTGCAGCACAGCTGGAGCAGCACCACCAGGCAGAGCCAGAGCTTTTGGCAGGTGAGATCAGGTGAAAAAAACCCCAAAGAAAACATTGGAGAACCTTGGGAAAATGCCCTTTAATTAGGTTGGGGTTTTTTTTCCTCGTGTGTAAGGGAGAGGAAAAAAAAATAAAAAAAGGCATTTATTTTGTCCTCAGTCTCCAAGATACAATGTAGTTTTGTTGTTTAAAATCTTAACATAGATCTGGCAAAGGGCTGGGCCAGGAAAGGCGTGTGCAGGTGGGAATGGAGAGATGACATGAGATGAACCAGCTCTGCCTCCAAGTGTTACTGTGGTCCCAAACACAGACCTCACTTTGCACATCACTTTACTTACATTTCTTTACCCAGCTGTGAGTTGAAAAGTTGGGAGAACGGAGCCTTTCCTGAGGGCACGGCCAAAACTCCTGTTTTTCACCAGGACTGGTAAAAAGAAACCAAAAAAAAAGAAAAAATTCCAAAAAAAATGTGTGGAAGGACAAAGCAACAATTTCCTTTTGTCAGGACTCCCCATCTGCCAGGAGTGGCAGCTGCTCCACAAAGCACTGGATGGGAGACTCCATAAAACAAGGGAAAAAAAAAAATGCTGGAGAGCCACATAAATTCCCAGAATTTTAACATGAAATCCAACTTGGGAGCTGGCTGGTGCTCCAAAACCTGGGAAAGCTCTTCCTGCCAGGGATGAGCTGCTGGAGAGGGCACAGGGAGGAGAGAGGGGGGTATCCAAGAGATCTCTCTCCTCATAAAGCCAGCCCATGGAGACTGGAATGCTATCCCAGAGATGGAGAAGAGGGATTTGGCTCCAGGCTCACCTTGCTCAGTGGGGCACCAAATATTTACACACCCTATCACCTCCTCGGGGGGAATCAAATACCCACTAAATGAGTGGAACAAAAGGGGTTATCTCAGATTGGGGCTGTTAGTGGGGCTAATAAATAATAGTGTCTCCTCTGGGGAGGATTTGTAGGAAAGGCAAAGGTTGGGAAAGAATAAACAGGAGCCACCAGGCCCTTTGTCTTTGCCTTGTCTGATCCTGGGAATGCCCCCTGGCTCCAGGGTCATGGCCAAGTCTTTCCCCCAGTGGTGTCTGTAGGTGACTTTGAGCTTCAGCAGGAATATCTGTCTGATGGAGGGAGAGCTGAGGCCACACTGATCCGGTGTGTCCTG